GAAGTTCGAATGAAAATGTGGGTCATGAATTTGGGAAAACCTGTCAATATTCCCAAGCTGAATGAAGCCATGGCTATAGAGTTGGGCGCCAGTCTATTGGGTGAGTTCATTATCTTTAGCATCGCTGCTGGACTGTTACTTGCTGAGTACAGCAGACAAGTTCGTAAAGAGACAGCTAAGGAAGCAGCCCGTCAGGAAGAACTCAGCAACATCCAATATACTATCCAAGAGTTGTACTTTCAAGCGGAGAGGCAGGATACTCAGATTCGAGAGCTCTTGAGAACAGTATCTGACCTAGAGAGCCGAGTGGTAAAGGTGCCTTGGAAAGGTAAACCTTCAGACGACACTACTCCGTCTGTAGGCCTACCTCACCCTGACACAAGGCCAGGGGTTGATTCCATTCACGACATCAGGTATTATCACAGAGAGGGATTTGGAACACCTTCAAAAACATCGTACTGGTGGCCTGAAAGCCATGGGCTTGTATTTACAGCAGTAGCTTATCTATCAAAAGATGTGTTCAGAGAATCTAGTCATTACAGTGTAGATGATATGTAAAAGTTTAATTCAATGTATAATTCCCCATCATCAATCAGATGACTTGTGGAGAAATGTTGATTTTAAATAATAGAGTATTTAGATTTTGCTTAAATGCTTAGTAGTCTATGATTTGGACAAACACATTCACTTCAAATGTCTTTGGATTAGAACTGTTCTACTGCATTTAAAAATAATAATTTGTTTGCAATAGTTCAAAATAACATTATATATTGATAGTATTTAAATTGCATGCCAATATACATATATGTTTGTTGGTTTTAGTATTCATTTGATTTCTTCAATGTACCAAGTAACCATTGTAATTTCATGTATTGTCGTATATGTAAAATCTTTAATTTAGCAATATTAAATAACTAGGTATATTATATCACTCTCCTGAAAAAATTTGTCAAATCACCAACAATCTATTTCTTTGTGTACTCGTTCAGATGTTGACAACAAAAACTCTTTGTAATTTCAATCATGCCATACCTCTTCAAAAGTCTATGAAGACTTACGGACGGTGAACTGAGTTGTACTTTTCTTTTGTAACTTAAATATAGGTGCTTGTGTACAATTTAAAAAAGAAACCTTAGAAGCTACTTAGCCTACTTTTTGTCAGTAATATCTTTGGACATGTTGACAGAGTTTTTGCTAAATATTGTTTTAATGTTAAATTAGGTACTGTAATGTAATTTTTTAAAACATCAACCAAATATCAGTTAGGCCTATCACCTGAAATAAATAGGAAATATATGTTAGTATGATGCAATTTTGCAATGGATTCAACATTAGTACTGTGATGGGGAGATCATTTTATTAAATGTCATTAGTTGTACAGAGTTATGTAATGCGATGTTGAGCTTATGTGATGTTTTTCTTGTCCCAAAACTGCAAAAAAGTTGATTAATTTTTCAAGCTTTGTTTTAGTCAAGTCTAATATACTTCGTTCACAATATTTAGGCGGTTTAAGGGGAAGAAATCTATCCTGAATTTGGGAAAACCTGTCAATATTTCCAAGATTTGTACAATAAGCTTTGTACAATATCCCCCTTGACCCTTACTTTTTAAATGAAACAATAGCTCAACAGCTGATGAAGCAACATACATTAAATATAAAAAAGTGGTGGGGGAAATTCCCCTCAAAACGCCTAAATATTTTGAACGTAGTATAGTTTATAAATTTTAATATCAAAAAGTATATACAGGGAGCCATACCGAAAAACCATCAAATTGTGGGTGGATACCTTTAAATCCACAGGATCAACTGCAAAACGTAGGCCTGCAGGCCGTCTAAGGTCAGTGAAGACGCCGAAGAACGTAGAGCAAGTGCGACAAGCTGTGCTAACGAGCCCGCATCGCCCGACGCGTAGACAAGCTGCTGCTCTTGGCATGTCTGATCGCTCTATTCGACGAATTTTACACTCAGACCTTCACTTTCACCCATATAAAATAGCAATCGTCCAAAAACTTCAGCCTCACGACCACGCTAATCTTCAAACATTTTCAGAGCAGCCCGGGCGATGCGGGCTCGTTAGCACAGCTTGTCGCACTCGCTCCACGTTCTCCGGCGTCTTCACTGACCTTGTTGTAGGCCTATGTTTTGCAGTTGATCCTGTGGATCTAAAGGTATCCACCCACAATTTGATGGTTTTTCGGTATGGGATAGGTTCCCCACGAGCCACATTAAAATGCCTACGAAACTTACGCTGCGTATCAACATCAGAATCGCCACTTTTAAAATACGCCTCAAATGCAAACGCGCGATGTATACCGGTCAACTTCTATATGGCGACTGAAATGGCGTCACTTGGCCTTGAGAATGAGCCGCTCCCCACCACCCCCTCCACTCGGCTGCCGGACTGTACTCGCTTGAAAACCGTCAGATATTTCTGCCGCTCCCTGTATATTAAAAATTAATAGTAAATGAAAAGATTGTTCAGGTTAATAATTAGTAGTAGTTTACTCTTAGACAAGCATTTTATTTCAGTGGCCATGCAATAATCATTATAAGAAGTTAGATAAACGCCACAAGTTTAAAAAATAAATCTTCTTAAAAACTGTTTTATACTCATTGAAACAGAAAAATTATCACTGTGGTTTTTGAATTTGATTATACTTTTATTTTTATTTATTTAGACTAAGCCTTCTTCTCATCGGTCAAATTTGTTGATATGAACTAACTATTATAATAGGTTACTATGATTTATTTGTAAAAATGCAATACAAGAGTATCTTTACCAATTTGTGTTTCTTTTAACTATTCCTCCAAGTCCAAGCTAAATACACCACTAATGAATTACTAGGTATGTAGAGGGACATAAGTCAATAAAAAGCTTAAATGTAAAGCAAATTATTGTTGCATCTAAACAAACTAAGAATCAAATTATCTTTCACACAGCACCTCTGAAAATTGTAAGTTAATCAATTTTGTATCACTTTAGTGAAAGCAGAATTTATCTAAACTAGAGGCTTGTAGGGACGTAAGTCCCTGTTACTTTTTCAAATAATAACTAAATTAGTTCAGTTGAATCAAACTCATACTTTAATGTAAAACAGAAAAAAACTAATACAAACAAAACAAATGAAAAATAACAGGTGATCATTAATTCACATACACATATGGTCTTAAGTCAGTACATCAGAAACACATCAATTCTCCCCTCTGAAATGTTTTGGTAACGTTATTTCACATTTGAGTAATTGGTCAACATGACGCCTCCAGACAGTTCCATCGTCCATTTGTACTTTATACAGAAGGTTGCTTTCCCTTTCCAATATTCTTCCAAAACTCCACTTGTCTTTTGAGTTTGAATAATTTCTCGCTTGTACTCTGTCTCCCTCCTTAAAATATCGTGTTGCTTGTTTCATATGTTCAGTTTCTTGTTTACGTGTAGGATGTAAAAGAGCTATGTGTGTTCGAATCTTCCTGCCAAACATCAAGGAATATGCATCACAGCCAGATGAATTTGAGGTTTGGCGTAACTGCATAAGCATTCTGAAGAGTTTGACGTCCATTCGAACACACATAGCTCTTTTACATCCTACACGTAAACAAGAAACTGAACATGTGAAACAAGCAACACGATATTTTAAGGAGGGAGACAGAGTACAAGCGAGAAATTATTCAAACTCAAAAGACAAGTGGAGTTTTGGAAGAATATTGGAAAGGGAAAGCAACCTTCTCTATAAAGTACAAATGGACGATGGAACTGTCTGGAGGCATCATGTTGACCAATTACTCAAATGTGAAATAACGTTACCAAAACATTTCAGAGGGGAGAATTGATGTGTTTCTGATGTACTGACTTAAGACCATATGTGTATGTGAATTAATGATCACCTGTTATTTTTCATTTGTTTTGTTTGTATTAGTTTGTTAATCCAAGAAATTTGCGAAGTTCTGTTACGTTTTCTGGTCTTTTGCTGTTTAAGATGGAAGAGACCTTTTCCTTTGTTTTATGAATACCTTGAGCATCAATTATATGTCCCAGATATTGCAGACTAGTTTGAAAAAACTTACACTTTTCTCTGTTCAGTTTTAAGTTTTTACTTTTTGATCTTTCTAGGACAACCTTTAATCTTTTCAAGAGTTCTTCAGATGTCTTACCTTGTATAATGATGTCATCAAAAAAGCATTGCACTCCGCAAATACCTTGTAAAGTTTTGTCCATAAACTGTTGCCAAAGTGAAGGAGCAACTTTGACACCAAACATTAAACGGTTAACTTTGTACATACCTTTATGTGTACTCAATGTCTGCATGTGTGCGCTGTCCTCATCCATTTTCATGTGAAGATATGCGCTAGAAATATCTAGCGTTCAAAATACTTTTCCTCCGTTCATTTGAGAGTGGATTTCTTCAATTCTTGGAATAGGGTGGTTCTCATCTTTTATTACTCTGTTCAGTGTTACTTTGTAATCGGCACAAATTCGTACTTGTCCGTTTGGCTTTACCACTGGTACAATGGGAGTTCCCCAGTCAGAATGGTCAATCTTTGTTATAATGTTACAGTCCTCAAGTCTTTTTAATTCATTTTCAACTTTACTTTTAAGGGAAAAGGGTATTTGTCTTGGTTTTACAAATATAGGTGTAGCATCGTCTATAAGTCTATAGTGTCCCAGATACTCAGGTATTTCTCCAATTTTACCATCAAAAACTTCCTCAAACTCGCTGAGGATGGTATCAAGACTTTCAGGTTGTATTGCGTTCACATTTTTTATCTCAGCCCAATCAATTGTCACTTCTCTGAGCCATTCTCTACCAAATATAGCATCTACATTTTGGTCAATGAGGTAGAGTTTTCCAACAAACTTTTGCATCTTGTATGAGCAATGTACAAATGCCATACCCTTGGGTTTGGCATAGGTTCACCCGTGTACGTTCTAAGTTCGATGTTGGTTTTAAATACTTTTGTACGTACATTCAGTTTTTTAAAATCATCATAGGACATTGTACTAAGGGCTGCACCTGTATCCAATTCCATTGGTACAGTTTTACCTTCAATCGTTATGTCAAGAATGAATTTACCTTTTTGTCTGTCACTTAGTACATTAATTTCATGTTCATACTCACTGCCTTTCTCCGAGCCATCTTGAGTCTGGTATTGCTTCAAATTTCTGTTAGTCTGGTTCTTTTCCTGTAAGCATACACTTGCTATGTGTCCAATTTTAGTACATTTTCTGCACTCAGCACCTATAAATTTACATTTGTTAGCTCGATGAGAAGGTGAACCGCATCTGTAACATTTCCCTTTTAGATTGTCAAATTTTGTGTTGGGTCTCGTGCCGGTTTCTTGAAATGTTTGTCGATACAACATTTTCTTTGGCTTGTTCCTATCACTACTATTGGAATCCACCCTGTTCAAATCAAGGTGTTCCATTGTTTTGCGACATACGGTTTTGCTCTCAGATTTAGCTAGTTCCATTGCCGATGCTTCGTTAACAATGTCTTTGTACGTGCGTTTCTCTCGTCCTTGAAGAAGTTTGGCTCGAATATCTATGTCATTCAAACCACGAATAAACTGAAGTTTAAGAAACATCTCCGCAACCGACTTTCCACAATCACAATAATTAAAGTCACAGTTGCTAGTTAATTTCTTAAGTGCTATTGAGAATTCATTTATGGATTCATGTTCTTGTTGAGTACGTGAAATAAACTTGTGTTGTAAAGCCTATTGACTTGGCTGTGGTTCTACAAAATCCTTTAGTATCTGAACCAACTCACTGTAGTCTTTTGTAAGTGGGTTTTCAGGTGCACATAAATCATAAAGTTGTTGGTGTAACTGGGGTGTAAGAGTGTGTAGTAGCATGTAAACTTTAGCATTACCATCTGTACTTAGATTTTTAAGGTGTAGGAATATTTCAAGTCTCTTTATGAAATTTGTAACAGTTTCCTCTGGGTGAAAAGGTGTAAAATTTATACTACCCAACAATGAGGACCCGGGAATTGAACTATGTGTCGCCTCAGATGGATTGCTGATTGGGTGAAGTGGTGTAGACCTAGTGTTGGAACATTCATTCTTAATCAACTCTTGAAGTTTTGTTGTAAGATTTAAATACTTATCCTCGACATTACATCTACATTCTATTTCATGGTGCAAGTTTTCTTCATCGGTTAATGTATCAATTTGGTCCTGAATACTTTTGTAACGTTCCCACTGGTCAGCAATTGCTTTGAGTTTAACACTCACCTCAGTCACTGTAAGACTACCTTGAGACTGGAATCTTTCTGCCTTCTTCAACTGTCCTTTTACTACTGCTCGTGCTTTCTTTAGATTATTTAACTCTTGTCCATCCATTCTTTGTTTTCCTCGTCGCCAATGTTACATTTTCAAATAATAACTAAATTAGTTCA